CAAAAATTGAACTGATGCATTTTTAGTTCCTTTCCTAGCCCAATTCCTCCTGTCTAGGCTGGCCTCATGCATGCTGGGGCAGCTCTGGACAGCTCCTAGCAGGACCACAGTCCCTTCCATGCCAGAAGCATAAGGAGGAAGAAGGGCAGGATGAATGTGAATAGAGGAGAAGGATGGTCTGAGCTGGAAGCTTTTCCCTTCTCTGGGGCAGTCTGTGCAGTAAGGCTCTGGCAGGTCATGCACATGAAGGAGGGAGATGTCTGAAATTGGCTTTATTCTTTTTTCTTCTGCAAACTCCCTTCTGTTTTGCTGCTTGGTTCGCTTGACCTTTTCCCACATCGCTCTGTGCTTTGGATGAGTCCTCAAAGAGCAGAAGTCGAGAGCGCAGCAGTTGGCCTTGGGAACAGCCACCAGAGCTCGTGGCTGCGCTTCAGCCATCTTTACAATTCCCATCCCCTCCCTCAGCCCAGTAACGAGAACCTCCCTTGTTCTTCCAGCCAAGCTGCTCTCTGCGCTGTGGTGATGGCCTAAAACAGAGACCCTCGCATTTTGTTCCATGGCAGAGCTCAGCAAAGCATTCATTGGTTTCATGCAGCTGTCTCTTCTTGTTCCCAGCTGGCTAATTTTATTAAAAGCTCCTAAATAACCCCCAAATGTTCTTATCCTCCCCATTAAAAATGGTCACAGCAGCCTCAAGAGTGTGATGCAATTGTGGGCTTGAGGGAGGGAGGTCCATAGTATTGCAAGTGGGAAGGGAGGTGTCTGTGAGTCAGTCTCTCTGGTAATGTATGTTATCCATGCGGCAGGAAAACTTGAGAACATCTGCACTAGGAAATCCCAGTTCTCCTCCCCCAGCACCAATTATCACAGCCATCTCAGTTGGTGCTCTTGGCTCATGTTCTGGTGATAGCTACTTGGATGGGATGTCTAAATAGCTTTGACAGCCCAAGTCTGTGGGTGATGGTGTCCTTGAAGGCTGAGTAAAAAGGGCAGAAGGTGGTTGTTGCCCTAATGGAACCTGATTCCAGGGAGGACATGACCTACCTTGCGCACAGGCTACCTTAACATGGGCTGTGTGCTGCCAAAAGGACTGTGGATCACCTGTGCTGAGCTCGAGTTTCTTGGTCAGATCATTTAGGAATTTATCTTGTTCTCATAGAGGTTCCTTCTAGCCTTAAACATTATGATTTGGGACAGTTTGGATTTTTCATTTAAAAGGATAGTAATTTCCACAGTTACCAGTGCTGGGAAAGATAGTATACTGGCATGTAAAAATAAATGAAAAATTTGATAATGAGACAAACAATCTAGTGCATGTAGTGGTGAGTATTTCACTGTAGGCCACTGACTGATAGGGCTGAACATACTGAGAATAATTTGTATTTAGAGAGTTATCTTTAGTCATAGAAGTTCGACTGATGTGGAGTTGGTTACGTGTTCATCTGGAAGTCCACATCTCCAGTTTGTAACCACACTTCAGGGATGGATGCAGGAATGGGCAAAGCAGCTCCCCAAAGGATTCCTCCCTTGTGCAGAACTGTCTTGCACTCTGTTAACCAGAACTGGCATCCAGCTGTGCTTGTTCTTCATTTGACCTGTGCAGTGATTATAAGGCTGTAAGTTATAGCCAAGGTTATGTTAACTGAGCCACAGCAATTGTACTTGATTTTACATGTCATAATTTGGGCAGTTTCTCAGGTAAGAGAATATTGTAAACATGTGGAGGAAGCTGAGCCCCCTTTCACTTCCTGCAAAAAACTATTCTCCCAGGAAGTCTACATTTTTTTGCTGTTGGAATATGGTGATTATTTTAAGGCTGGATGCTGTTCTGTCATAGGGATCAAAAAGGAGATGTAACTGGTAGCTTTTTGAATCCATCCTGTGCTTGTTTGATTCATGTATGAGGATTGCAGATGATGATGTTTGCTTGTGCAAACCCATTTGCAGGCACACTTTCAAATGAGTTTTCTGGTTAGTTTGCCTGCAAATCTCAGACCTTTTTGAAAGACAGGCTTATTTGTGGGTGGGGTACATAGTTCTCACTTGAATCTATGTAGATCTTTATGCATAAGACTTTGCAAAGTGCTCTTTGCTGGCTGGAGAGGGAATAGAACAGTTGTTGAAGGTAGATGAAGCTGAAGATGTCTCCGCTGTTCAGCTTGTTTTGCAGTTGTTGTTGTAAATGTGATGCTTTGATAGTGTCCCATAGTTCTGGGGCTGCAGTATCTTCAACAACGTTGATATCCTTGTCTGATCACACTTGAGAAACAGTTTTCACTTCATACAACTCCATGCTGCTTGGCTTGCTGATCTTCTGGCAGCTCTGTATGCATCAATCTCTGAGAAATTTTTGAAACTTCATTAAGAATTTTTTTACTTCAGCATGTGGATTGCAACTGTTGTATTTTCTAGCCTTTTACTAGTGATGAATTATCTACCTAAAAATACACCCTTGTAGTTCAGCTGGTCAGCAGGGCCAGAATAGGTGCTGCTTCTGTTGCCTACACAGCTGTGTCTGCCAAATTCAGTACACTGTTAACATTAACAAAAGCAATTCCTACACCTGGATTTGTGCTGCAGTGGTAACCCGCAGCCTGTCATAAGAGCCTGTTAGTCCAACAGAGCAGTGTCAGACAAGTTACAGTGTGTTTATCTGCACACATCAGAGCACTGATGACAGTCCATGAGAACCAGTTTGACTGCATTGAAGAAAATATCTCCCTTTTAAATCCAGTCAGGCCACATTGACTGAAAGCTCTGCTGCAGGCTCCGAGATGCTCAGACTAGGGGGTGAAAGGTGAGTTGACTGGAGCAGAAAACTGATTAGAAAGGGTCTGTCCCTTCTCTGGTGGCCTGTGTTTGAGTGCAGTGGCTGCGTGGAAGCAGGGCCATCACCTGCATCAGCCAGGCTTTGTTAGGAGAGGAACAGGGGCTCTTGTTGCTGCTAGGCAGTATAAACTGCCCTGCATCTGGAGCCCCTTTGGGCTCCATTTAAGAAAATAAGGAAACAGAGTTTGGATAAACATGTAAAGCAAAGCCCCTCTTGCATGGCTAGTGTCCTTCTGGATTAGTATCCAGTTGCCGCTGCTGCAAGCAGGGATCCACTCTTCTGAAATCACTGATGGGTGTGAGTACAGTCAAAGGTATCTGGGGTTGGAGGTAGGACAAAAGTAGAGAAAGGAGGTCTGACTGCTTTCAAAATGCTGAACTTGAGCAAATGCTGAATTCCTCTGCAACTGGCGCTATCAGCACAAAACGTTGGTTTGCTCTAATGGAAAGATGACCATCATTTGTTCAGCTTAATGATAGGGACATAAATAACTGCACATTTATGGAATTCTCAGAGCTGGTGCTAATCCAGACAAATGAAAGGGATCCATCACAGGATCCTGGCAAATACTTCTTGGTCCCTGATGTGGTACGAGAGAGGCTGACTCAGTTCCCAGGGTGCCCCATCAACCCTCTCAGCTGAGTGTCCAGGTCTGCACTTAGAGCAACTGAGAGCCCTTCCCTGCAGGAGCCAAGATTGTCTCCCTGGGTCTGTAGTGAGAGAGGGGCCTTTACGACTCCTCCAACCTCCAGCAGAGCTGAGTAAATAGTCCCAGCACTTGTGTGTGTTTGTGTACCAGCTGCAGGGAAGATAAATGACCTTCTGTGCTTACACTGAAGGTCAGTGGGTCAGATACTGAGTAGTGTCTGTCTTGCAGTGTGTGCCTGGATTAAAGGAAACTTCTAAGTGTATGCTTAAATCTAATCCCAAACACTAAAGTGCTTAAGAACATTCTTACAGTGAGCACATTCTGGGTTATTTGTACAAATAGGAAAAATACCAACATTTGAAAATAAAATAGCAGGAATACGTTCATATCTTGTTTGTTGAAGGAAAAATGAGATGACCTGCAGTGTTGTATTTTTCCTAGCCTCTGTGATATTTATAACCAAATAAGATGTACATAATAATTACAGCTTATCTGGGGCCAAATCCTGCTGCCACTAATCAAGTCTTTTTTTTTTCAGTAACGGGTTATTTTGTTTTTTATTTTTGTCTGAAAAGGAAATGCAATATCCATCCCAAAGCTGTTATGGAGAATTTTAAAGCTTTCTAATATCAACTCCTCTCACCTGTTTTCACGTGTTCTAGTCAAAGTAGTTGTAAGTGGTGAAATGGATGGAATAAAGTTCCAGCAGCAATTAAAATCTTATGTTCTAACCTATAAAAACGAGGTGAAGTATTGGAGCTGGAATGCAAAATCTGGAGAAAGCAGCAAGGTAGTTTCCGGTGCTATTTTTGTATTTCCTGAGGCTTGTGTCATTATGTGCAGCCTTATTACTATTCTCATATATGATATGAAAATAACAGAGGGAAATTGCTTTTCCATTCTATTTCCTGAGGTCTAAAACACACCATTATTTCATCTTGCATTCAGATATCTCTGATGTTTAAATGCCCAGGATCCATATTGGTTGGATGCTTCACAACATTATGTCCAGGTTCCTGAGACTCCAGTTTGTTTGGAGACCCTTTGGAATATTTTTCATTGTTTAGCAATTGTATTTACTCTGATTATTCGAGTTCACTGTATACTGCATATTCTTTCTGCAATTAGCTTGGAGGTGTGGGATTTTTCCTCTGCTTTGTTTTTCTTGTATGTTTGTTTGTTTGCTTGTTTTTCTTTTGCCGTTTCTTTACCTGACTACTGAATCCTGCTTGAATTAGACCTTGACTGGTCAGTTGATGAAGCCAGATGCTATACGGTAGTAACAAATGCATAGTACTTCTGCAGTTATCCTATAGCGTGAGGAATTGTTAGCCTCGTAACACAGTAGCTCTTAAAAATCTCTTTTTTTCTTGAGTGTAGTAACATAATCTGTGTGTACTTGTTTTGTTCAGATTTTTCACAGATAGAAATATCTCACTTAGTTCCAGGAACAATATGTAACTATCACTAGGTTTTGGCATTATTACTGTTTCTGAGGGTGTTTGCTTTGTTTTTGGACAGGTGTACAACATGTTTCAACATCAAAGCCTTGGAATTAAAGTCAACATTCGAGTGACCAAGTTAGTCCTGCTTCGAAACCGTCCTGTGAGTCCTGACTTGTTTTGTGCTGCTGTTACTGTTTCGTTGCTGTAGCTTCGTAGGCAGAGCAGGATTTCTGTGCTGTATGAGCAAGAACTGGGGATGTCTGGCCATATATTATATACAAAATGTAACTAGTACATGCCATACTGCACTGCCTTTGGTCTTCTAGTGTTTTATATAAACACCGTGACTAACCTTTCTACTTTTGAATTCTTTCCTTTCACAAAGGCAAAATTGTCTATCGGGCATCATGGAGAGAGGTCTTTGGAGAGCTTCTGTCACTGGCAAAATGAAGAATATGGTGGAGCAAAATACCTTGGCAACAACCAGGTTCCTGGTGCAAGAGATGATACCCCTCCTGTGGATGCTGCTGTTTTTGTAACCAGGTATCGTGAGTCAGGATTTTACTTTGACCAGTATTGGGCCATAGTCAATGGTGGAGTCTGGTCCACTAGCAATTTGAGAAAAGATCCACAGGTGATGATGAATGTACTGCTACAAACTCTCTAGTGGCTTGTCTTGTTTCTGTGTATTTGTTATACCAAAATGTTTGCTTTTGAATCTGAGTGTTGCTGTAGCCATGATCATCTGAGGACACAGACAAAGCACAAGTGATGCTTTTTTGTCAGCCTAACTACTGTAACTGTGGGGGAAAAAAAAAGTTTTGAGTAAAGCTCTTTGTGGAAGAAAGAAGCAACAGACTGCAAAGATGCAGACAAGCTGAGAAAGCTGCTCTGAGTGTAATTAGATACGCATCAGTTGGGACCTGCAGAGCAGACACTGTGTTAGCAGAAGGGGAGACGTGGTGAAAGTTATTGCCTAAGGAAAAAAAAAGATAGATACCATAAATTAAATTATGTTTCTGTCTTTGTGTTAGGAAATAACCCCTCTAACAGCGCTCGTCTATCATAACTTGGAGCAGTCCCTTTTAGTGCAGAAGGCTTCAAAGTTACAAATGTATTTCAGACATGTAATAATGTGTGTGTGAATATTAAAGCAAAATTCTTTGGAACCTGTAGCCCAGCCTGTTGATGTGTCACATACAGGGTGTCACGGTGCAGCCCAGATAAAATGAACAGAAAGGATGTTGTCCATATTTACTTAAAATCTTTTTTCCCTTTAACTTCAGTACTTGAGATCAGTACCAGAATACAATGCAAGTCCTCTGTCCTCACAGTCTCCCAAAACATGGAATAGCAAATTCTTGGCCTTTTAAATTAATTGCATACTTGAGCATGTAAATTAGAATTAATCGTCGTTCACTAATAATTAGAGTGAACGCGAAAGTGGATAGGATGGGTGCTGCATGTGTTAGAGAAGACACCACTTCCTGCCCACTTCCCCAGTTTGAGACAGGAGCTGTCTGTGCTGCAATTCAATATTACTCACTTCTCATTCTTTTTCTTTTTTTCCCCTGCCAACAGTGTAAGTAGAATGCATGTTTTTACATAACCTGCCATTCAGCTTGTGATTGTCCCTTGTGTTAATAGTCTCATTGCAAACTATCCATTGACGAGTGTTGTGTAAAAGTGGACTGCATAGCTAGCGAGCTTGGCATGGGGTCCATGAGGTTCATGAGAATGCACATTAAAAACGAGTGCTTTTTCTCTTCTCTGTTTTCAGTGTAGTCCAACCAAGCACTTAAGTAGACACTTAATGTTTTAGACAGGGCGAATAGTTCCTTTGAAGTCAATGGGCCTTAATGTTTTAGACAGAGCGAATAGTTCCTTTGAAGTCAATGGGCTGCACATCCTGGTTGTAGTTAAGCATGTGCTTTATTGGATCATGGCCTAAATAAACAACTAACATTTTCGTTAAACTCATCTGGGCATCCAGTTGTCCTGCATGACAAGCGGATCATACAAAATCTCTTCTGATGTGCCCTGAGCACAGGGCGGAGGGAATGAGCAGAGCATTTAACGTGGGCGTTCTTGTAAAACCGAATCCAGAATGTCGGACTGAGGGACCTGGGCACTTGAGAATTGTAGGGGTTATCTCAGGATTCAGTGGATTTGGAGAGTTTTGCAGTCAGAACAGCTGGATAAGTACAGCTTCAGGAAGGTTAGAAACTGGGCTTGGATTCTGTAAGGAAGTGTAGGCAAGGGTCTGCAAGTGCTGCATAGAAGAGCTGCGTTTATTCTGTATGATAGGCCAGCAGCGCACACTTGTCTCGCTCTCTTCTTGCTCTTTCTAGTCATTATAACCCATCCCTGTCTCTAACTTCATGTTCATGCCCAGCAAGGCCTGATTCTTGTGTCAGGGAAATGCGGTTTCTCCTCTTGGCTCTGGAAGTCCTTGTGTGTGTCTGTTTCCCTGGACCCTCCCCAGGCTGTGCAGATGGAGCAGGGGTAGAGGACGGGAGAGCAGCGTGTCCAGCACAAGTGTTTTAGCCAGCAAAGGAGAAGCTGAATTTTCACCAGCTGCAGCTGCTTTAGGACTAGGAAGATATTCTTTGGGATTGACCTCTAAAGAAATCCCTGTGTTCTAATCTGACCATGTTCATTGGAAACACCAACACACACCTGCTTTTGGAAACTTCATCTCTAACTGATATTCCCCATATACTTATTTGTATGCAAAAGTAAATGACCTCATAGGTAGCGAATATCCCTCCTACAGGGCTCTGATAGTATCTACTTGTCAGTAAGGAGCACACTGTGTCTGTGAAGCAAGATATATTGCTGCCCAGTTCAGTAAATGGAGAAGACAGTGGGGAAAAAATCTGTTTTAGCCATGAGGGTTTGACTATAATGCTGTGGTTTTTATAATCATCAGATTTCTCTTTCTCAAGTTCTCTGCGCTTGAAGAAATTCAGATCTCTGGCATCTATGGATGATGTCCTTAGTATTTTAATGGGCAATTCACCAGAAAAACCTCTGTCTGTAGAATCTCAATGTTCTTTGAAGCATGTCTCATTTAAAACACATTCTATCTGTTGATCTTCTGTCTTTCACATTCCTCAGGAAATCTTTAGACTTTCTGATGTTCTCTCCAGCTCCTGGTCATGGGCATTTGGGGCACTTGGTAGTTTCTTGGTGATTTAGTAGCTGAGTAAAGAATGGCACCACTCTGAAGTGAGCAGAATTTAAGGCTGTCATTTATCAGAGACTTGTTCTTTATTTTTTGTTTTTGGTCATACTGCTATAGTTACTTCACTTGCAGCCTGTTTGCACTGTTTCACCTTTCTCCAACCCTCTGCTTTTTAAAGGCAAATAAGCAGTTGCATATGCATTCAGGGAGATAGACATGGTGCTTCTAAATGAGTTTATGCATGTGTAAAGTCTTGTTGGCAAATTTCTGGCTATACCAGCTTCTCTGCCTGTTACCTTTATGACCCTGGAGGGGTCACAAAATATATAAAAAAAAAAAAAGTCATTTGAAGGTTAATGAGGCAGCCATTAAACAGATTTTTTTATTCATGTTCCACAGTTTCACTACTGTCCTCGTTACAGGAAGGACTTGAATTGCAGAATTTAGCTGAGCAGAGTTAGGTATTTTTTTCCAGTTTGTGCGAGCCAGATGGAAGAGTGACTTTAGGAGGAGTTCTGAGTTATTCTTTTTTGGCTTTTTTTATTGAACAAAAAAATCCCTCCACCTTATTGTCATTTTTGGAGGTATTGTTTAATTCTACTAATGGAAACACTCTCCATAATGTGATAATGACTGAGGATTTCACAGGTCCCTAGACGAGCAGAGCGCACATGGAGTGCTTGCTTCAACCAGTAGCTGAAAGTAAAGAGGAAATTTTATTCGCTGCTCCAGCCTGTGATTTCAGTACATTATCCTGTACTTAGTGATAAGGTCAGATTTGGCCTTGGATTTGAATTGCAGCTCCTGTAACGAGAGTTCTGTTCCAGCAAAATGCCTTAAAATATCCTGCTAACAGAACTGTAGTCTTTGTGATAACATTCATGGCATATGGAGGGGATTCTTAAGACATCTTTATTTCCTTGGAGTATCATTACAGTATCATTTATGTCAACTCTTTCTTTAAACTCTTTTTTTAAAAACAAGAAAATAGCAAAGCTGAAAAATGTTCCAGAAAGAGCCTGGTGACTAAATCCTTTCAAAGGAGAATAGTTTCAGCACCATGACAGGGCTGTCTTATCTCACTGGAATGACTCGTCACCAGATAAGAGGGAAGATCTCTCTCGGTGCCTTTAGAGCCTTTGGTCTCCCCTGAGATGTCCAGGAGAGGGGTGGGAGTTTCAGTACTAGGTTTGTGATAGGAAGGCTGCTTGCCTTCGGAAGAAGACTTGAGACCCACCACGCATTTCATGACTTTCAGTAAAAGAGCCATGAGTTTAAAGTCTACTCTAAGTTGTGAGCCTGTGGTCACTGAGTGAAGGTTTGCATACCCTTTTTGTTTCACCACAGAATTCTGGAGTAAACCTTTCACAAATGGTCAGGAAATGTTGCAGCCTAGTGTCCTGGTACAAGGTATTTGGGTAGAAGGGCAGCATCTCTTGCATTTGTGTTTAGGCCAGTTAAAAGGATGGGCTAGGGAGGTTTTATAGCTGCAGGCCTGCCTACAGTAAATTGGACAGCTCTGTTCAGCTCTTCCTGCTGTCCTGTTTCAAGTTCTCCCATGAGCAGACAGCATGAGGGTATTCTCTCTGCTCAGTAGGGCTGGCAGGTTGTGCTGGCTGACACACAAGAGCCCGGCTGCAGGGCATGGGGGGAACTCCTCCGGGAAGCGGCCTGAAACCGCCAGGCACCTTTTGGCCTAGAACATGGAGTGCAAGGAACACAACTTGCTGGCGAGGCCCTGAGGAGAGATGCTTTTCTAGCAGTGGCCTCCTGCCATCTACTAATAGTTCAACTATCTGTTGTCACAAGAAAAGCATCTGTTTGATTTACCAGCTTATATAACATGCTAAGTCCTTAAATAAACCTCTGTCAGATTGGCTCTGGGATCTCAGCATGCCCGTGCCAGCTCCATTAGGAGACTGTCATTAGTTGTCTTTGGAATGGCCGGAAGGTGTCAAGACACAGAAAGGCTTTGGGGAAAAACAAAAGCTGGGGACCATGTGTGATCACTGCTTCTGATTTTTTTTCTTCCTTATGATTTGTTTTAATACTTTGGTAATTGCTATCATAACTTTTCCACATTGAAGCATGGTTAGTTTTCAAGGTCATCTTAACAAGTGCTGGTTGCAGCTCTTGCTCCCTTCCTTCCAAGCCCTGACTTGTGGTTTTCTGGTTGTGTGAAGGACTTGCGCTCATCAGCCTAAGCACTGGGCCTTAAAGCCTTTCTCCTGTAAAGACTACTTTTTTTTATATATTTTTTTTTTCTCCAAGAAAAAGGTATTTTCAGTGCTTCTCCATTATTCCCCCTGCTAAACTCTTAAACTCAAAATCCTACCTGTGACTTAAGAAGAAGGCTCCTAAAAGCTTGGTGATGACTAAGTGCTTACTGCAGTACACCCAAAACATTATTTCAGTTACAAAATACTTTTCCTTCCACACTTGTAAGTGTGTTCCCTTATGAGAGAATAACAAAGTCTTCTCACATTACGTGGTATTATTCAGACTGCAAGCTTTAAGGCTATTTTTTTAATTCTGTTTCTATAAATTCAGCATGTTTAGCTGAATCCAGTTCACCTAGCTTTTATTTGTCACATCCTGAGATCTGCTCTGTTCTTCCCTGCTTGTTTTTGTTTGTCTTTCTGTATGTTTAACTCTGCTTCTTTCTTGCCCTAGTTTTCTATTTCAGGAGAAAAAGAAAAAAATTGAAGGGCTGAGAATTTGTGAATTTGTGGGTATGTGTGATCCAGCTTATGTCTTTGGACTCAGCCCAGTGTCACATGTCAGTGTCCCCACATGTTCCCTCCTCCTGTTTTTGATGATGTTATTGCATCACTATCTGCTGCATTTTATTACGGTTGTCTAGTGAAAATGCTGGTTCACCTTCAATCCAGTTACTGAGGAAGTCTGACCTCGCAGAAATGAGACAGTTTTATGTAATGCAGCAGTTTCTTTGCATGTTAAATCTTAATTTGTTACATCGGACAGCAGTATGTGGAGCTGATCAGCATAATTGCATGTGATCTTGAGTAGCAGTCAGTGCTATCATGGTGTAAATGGCACAGCAGTTAAAAACCTCGACACCCAGGACACGTGGGTCATGCAGTGCTGCTTTTCCTAGCCTCAAGTCTGAGGGCACAGGATACACCTCACTTCTGTTCTGTTTTTCTTTCTAGGACAGATTTCTGCGTACACAAAGATGAGCCTTGTGACACCGTGGGTAAGTCAAAGAAGGAGGGGAAGAGTATTTTGATAGCCAGCTCTGTGCCAAGAGGAGTTTCCTGGGCAATCATTCATTCCTTGGTTTGTTCTAATGTGCTTTTGCTATTCTGATTGCCTCTACCATGCAAATGTGGATTGGTTGAACAGGATATGAACTATAAATAAGTCATGAAATAACAACAACTTTTAAGCACTGGAAATCTCTGAGGTCAGAAAGTAATCTTAAGCATTTGTACTTTGGGGGAGCATATGCAGAGTTCAGTAAATGGAGACCAAAACATTGTCTTTTGGGTGGCAGTATAATGTTCCTTTCAGTTGTCTCTCACCGAAGATAAGACTCTGATAACTAATGAAATGTATTGTAAGAACATGTGTAGCATTCCCAGGTCAAGCAGGTACTTGGACCTGGAGAAAAACACCTCCTTGTAAGAAACCCAACTTGAAATAAATCTTCTTTTCCACCTTCTACTTCCTAACTGCCTCTAATGATTTCCAAGTGCAGTCACTTACATTCCATAGAGTAAATATCTTATTTATATTTTTACCTAGGTAGTTATAGGTTCCACTGCATTGCTTCTCCTGTATTTAATTACCATGATAGCAGTAGTATTTGGAGGCAAAATTCAGCATCCTCTCCACAATTATCGTATGATTATTTACAGCCTCTTTTCATATATGCCGTAGAAGTTTGATTTCAGAACACACATCCTTCCTTCTCAGTGGTGTGGAGACTAATCCATGAGAAGAAACAGGAGAAGGTTCATCAGTAAAGAAAAAATACAGTTGTTAGTCACCTGCTGAGTATTCCATTTCTCTCAGGGGTGTTAGACCAGAAGTAAATTTGGCCCTGTTGTATCGTTTCTGTGTGTGCCATAGTAGAGGAATAATAAATGAAGGAGTATATTCTTGTGACATGCCATCCATTTGAGAAAGTGTTTTTTGTTAGTAATACTAAATGCTAAATAGTTAAACTGCTAATATTTCTGCAGTTTTCCTCCTTTTTTGAAACAGGGAAAAATAGGTGTTAGGCACACAGAAATAGTCAGTTTTTAATGGTTACTGTTTTACAGCCTGTGTGTATATGTAAACACATACATATCTGTGTGTGTATATTGGAAATAGGAATAAAGCTTAATTGGTAGCTTAATCGTTGGGCTTAATATGAATGCAGTGATTGAAGCAGGTTGATGCCCACAAGCTTCTGAAGTTCTGTGTTGATACTGCAGCTGTTTCTACTGTTTCCAGCTTCCTGTTTCTCACTGGCTTCCACAGTCGCCTACAAATCTGGAGGTTTCCTGTGGAAGCAACAAGTTAGTCAAAAGGCTGACATTGCATTTGTTCTTGAAAGTGATTTTTAGATTGCAGCATTTTGCAAAGCTCTTTTTGTGCACCTCACTTTCATTCCCTGCCTGACAGTTCCCTATTAAAAAGGAAAAGCGTGATCTCACCAGATGCATGTGCATTTATGTACCCTCTTGTGAATGATGTTGGCCATTGCTGCGTGGTGAACTGCCATCCTGTAAAGGAAGAAGCATCTTCCCGGTGAGCCGGGACTCGACTAAACTAGGAGACTGAGGCTGCTGCTCTATACAAGCTGGGGAATCTGGACTCTAGACTGATTTCTATTCCTGGCTCTGGCATAGACTCATTGTGTGACATTTGGCAAGTCACTTAAATTCTGAATGCCTCTGTCTACCTCTATGAAATGGGGATTTTGAGTGCAAAGCTACAGGAGATTGTATGGCTTAAGTAGTTCTCATATAAAGGAGTGTGATGTCCTTGAGCCTTGCAATGTAAGTCCAGAATCTAATGTTGTTTAGTCACATTTAAAAGAATATAAAGAATCCATTAGATTGTACTTACTGAAAGAAGCACTACAGATAAGGGCTTTTTCGGTAACAGTACCTTGATTTTCTTTTGAGAAATAGGCAAGCAAGATTTCCCCCAGTGGAAGTATTGAGCCCCAGCTGTTGCTTGGAAGTTGGATTATGAAATTTGAATGGTTTGTAAGAGGTGCTCATTTCTGCTCAGAAAGATCCATATTGAAAAACCTATCTGGAATCTCTGCCTGCCATGCAGACACAGAGAGAAAACAGCAGCAGGAGGTTTGTATTTGTGTTCTGGCAGGGGCCCCTCGCTGAAACCAGTTGCTCTGGGGACTTCGTTCAAGTTTTCTTGGCCTAGCTGCCAAGGTAGTGTGGAAGGTTACATAATGGCTGAAACAAGCTCAAAAAATGTGAAAATATGTAGATAAGACTTTTTGGGGTGATACCTTGCTGACTGTGTTGGAGAATAGAACCATATTTATTTAAGAAATAGTTTGTGGATACTCATTGTCCTACTTGGTTGTGTAAGTTAACCCTAAAAGCAAATGAATTCAAAAAGGAGGGGTAGAAAAAGCAAGCCATATGCCTGCATGCCACACACTTGCACCAGTCGTGTTTCAGCAGCCATGGTCCTAGGACCTCCAGTACCCTGTGCAGCTTGAGCACAGAAAGTTTCTTTTTGCAGCACAGCCTTGAGGCCCTCGCAGCAGTCGGAGGGTTTGCAGTCTGCTGCCGCTCTCGGCCTCATCTCTCGTGATGCGACTTGAACCAGGTCTGCCGTTTCCTGCAGAGAAATCTTTGTTCCAATTGAGCTGCCTCTAAGCCGGCCAAATTGAGAGTTTAATGTCTAGCTATTAATATCAGGCTGCAGCTTGGAGCCTTGCACGTTGTCAGAATCCAACCTTCCTGTGACATAAGCAGATTGAGAATGCCCCTTTCGTTCAGTATTTCCACTGCTAGTGCCAAATAAGCAGCTTTACGGTTAGTTAGGAATGATCCTGCATATTTCAAGGCAAAGCTTGGCCTTGATTCCTCAGTGTACATGTTACCCCAGATCCAGGCTGAAGCTTCCCTGGATTCAGCTAATAATAAAAGTAGGGGCAGTGTGGAATTGGGAAATGGAAAATGAGAATGTGTCTTAAATATCCTCAAATTGCCCTGGTTAAAAATGTCTTTACCTCTGCTGCAGTCACATGGGCTTTCTTTGTGGCTTGATGTTGGGGAAAAAGCAGGCTATCGTGTATATGCTGCAAATGGGCAGGTTCCCAGTAAAGGAATAGCTGCTTGGAGAAAACTGAGCAGCAGAAGCAGCAGAGGTGATGGAGAAACAGCTTTCCAGAGTGTCTCCACAGTTGAACCAACGTTCTGTGAAAAAAAATTCCCATCTCCTGGCTGGCTTTAATTGACAGTCCCAAAGATACCTTGTTGAGAGGGTCCTGAAGATCACAAATCCTTCTAGAATGTGTCTCTTTCTTGCATCTTCCAGATGCTGATATGTCACTGGAGAAAACAGGACTCTGATTTTGGCTTTACTCCCACACTGACTGTGCAGGTGACATCCTGCTCTTCTATCGTTTCCTCCTTTCAGAAGAACACAGAGCGATGGGTGAAAAGTCCCGTTGGAGGGAGATGCAGAGCCTGGTGCTGTTATCTGATTTCCCTCCCTCGATGGCTTCACCCTGGTTTCTTCTTACGAGTTTACACTAGCAACCACTTTGGGAATATGCCCACATTGTGCAAATGAGATGCTTGCTGTATGTGTCCAAGCAGATTTGATTGTTCCATATTCTGTGCAAACACCCTGAACAACTAGACTGTGTTTTTTTTTTTAACCTTTTCCTTGCTGGTGCAGTTGGGTTGTCTCCTGTCCTCCACAAGGTACAGTTAACAGTGTTGCCTCTGCTATGTACTGTTCATTTAAATCTTCCTTCCTAGGTAATATTGATTCCAGTCTCCTAATATTGTCACAGCAGAGAATTAATCCCAAAGGAAAGGGGAAAGACTAGTTGGTGTGATGCGAGTGGAAAAGAAAAGGAATTCTCACATTAAAAACATTTTTCCATAGTGGTTCATGTTGAATGTTTCTGTATATTCCAGGGCGGGTTTTAATTTGAAGCCAGAATAAACAGAAATACCTGCTGCTTAGAACAATTCATTAGAGAAACAGTGCCTGGCTTTAGTCTTGCTGGGACTGTCCTTGGGACCAAAATCCAAAACAGCTCAGTGCATTAAAATGAACATACTGTAGGTTAAGATGTCCCCTTAAAGGGACACTGTCAGGTTGATTGGTGTTGGTGAGGGAAGGGGATCTCCCAGAATTGCAGTATTTTTCTGTTGGTCGTGGCCGTGCCGGGCGATGGGGAGTCCTGCTGCTGCCTTCCTGAAGCCGATGGAGGCCGTGGTGAGGGCCCCACGGGCACGTCCATGACCAGCGTCTCGCAGGCACCTCCTCCCCGCAGCCCTTCCAGGTTCTGGTCACCAAGTAGCAATCCCTCCTCTTCCGAATTTCCAATGGAAATCCTGTGCGCCAAGTGCGTGTAATACAAGATTGCATGAGCTTTAATAAAGCACTGGATGAGCACAGCCACTCCAGTCATCCCAAATTCCCTTGCTGTTCCTTGCATCAGTGCTCTGCTCCTTCTTGTGCTGACCACTTGGTGCTGGGACTTGCCTTCAGCAGGGCTGCTTCATGTGTGCCTGGGCTCAGGGCTGGGGGCCTGAGGAAAACGGTGGTTTCATCGGGCTCGGGGTTCTGTTACTGACTGCAGTGGGGTCAGGATTCCTATCCAGCTCTCAGGTAGCACAGCCCAGTTCTGGGTATCTCTCTTGAGCTGCCTGAGTTTGTTTCCTGGAGAGATTCTCATGCTTTGGGTACCTTTCACATCTTTGGATACCCTTGACACCCTGAGGATGGTGCTTTGCACTTTCTGGAAGTGACTTGATTTCTTCCTTTTTTGGGGCATTCAGAATCACTGCCAGGTTTTGAAAACCTTCACCAAAAACACTAGTATGTGAGAACCAGAAAGGAAAACCCACTAGTAACAACAGTGAGGCCGACCAGTCTGCTTTAGCAAAGAGAAGTAAAATGGAAAGGACTAGAAAGGCTGTATGTCCATATGCACTACACCTATTTTCCATCCAGTCTGAAAATAATACAAAAAAGGTATCTGAT